CACTCGTAGTTCAGCTATGATAGTGTGGTCGTCAAGTAGCATTTTTTAAGAAGTATATTGTTTTCAAAAAATAAGAATATTTAGATCATGGTGGATAGTCTAGAGCAAAAGATGTTGCCTTGTTAGGTCCAAGACCAGTTTACAAATTCTCACGCAGGATATCTGAAACGGGACACATCGTGGATTCGAACCTGGTACAATAAGCGGATCCTCTCTCGTCAGTTCGCAATGAAATATCTGAAACCTATGAGGTATGACAGGGAAACAAACCAAACCAAATCTATTGTGTAACCACTGTAACAAAGGGTGTCTTGTTTACCATGCAACAGCTGCATGCAATGCAATATCTGAGTTTACACACACCTTCCACTCATGTCGTGGTATAAGCTTGTACCTGAACTCCACTGGAAGGACTTACTCAGAGTTGGATGCATGTTGCACTGCAAACACGAAAACGTCGTTTTTTTCCGTATGTGGTTATTGGACGGAAAAACGAATTAAAATTCATAAAAATTGATTAATTGGTTAGCGTCTAGAAAGTGTCCGGAAAAGCGTCGAGTTTTTGAAGCGTAAAAGGGACGGAAAAACGATGGTTTGAAAACGTCCAAATAACGTCGTTTTTGCCGTCCAATGACCATATACGGAAAAAACGACGTTTTCGTGTTTTCAATGTTGAGAGAACAGAGGAGTATCGAGAAAGGAAGTTTGAAGCCAGGCAACTGATTTTTTTCTATTAACGCAAACATAATTCTATATACAGCCATCGAGAGATCCTCACTAGGGCACCCAGCATCCTGACATCCTCTGTATTTACTTGAAACCTTAGGGTTAAACTTGAGTGACGATCGCAGTCTATCTTAAGCAGAACTATCGACGTCAGTTAAAATGTGCATGGTCACGTTAAATCACTAATATTAGAAACATTTCGAACACACTTTCCTTAAGGACAAGAGCATATCGCAATTTTTTATTCTGCTGCGCGTTTGAAACGCATATCAATGGTTGTAGTACATTCAAATACTTTTTTCAACCAATACTTTAGGATCTTAACAATCAAACAATTAAGCAACACTGATAGGGAAGGATATCACAAGACAGTTGCAAATTCTGTGGGAACCAGAATTAGAAAAAGTCCCAATCACTCTAGTGTCTGTCTTAAGAGGCGCCAAAAGTGGATCGAGTGGTCAAGCCAGAGTGAGTGAGTGAGTGAGTTGGGTTTAACGCCGCTTTTAACATTATTCCAATTATATCACGGCGTGTCAGCTTAATGTGGGAGGAAAGCCCGAAGTGATGCAGGTCTAAGACGTTACCACTTCGGTGAAAACCACGATCACGGGTATGGTGCTGACAAACCTAGAAACATAATTGGGGCGAACCGGGATTTGAACCCACAATCATAGGTTTCGGGCGTGCCCAAGGGACGCAACTCTGTTCAGCGAATCGCGGCGCCTTAGACGACTGGGCCACCCGTGACCCCTGGTCAAGCCAGAGATCGGAGACTCATGCTTGATACTATATTTCCATTCTGTTATGATAAATACCCTGGACCCATTCGCCACCCTAGGTTCGTCTTTCTTTTATATGATGCCACCACCTCCATCGCTGCTATCGCTGAGGTTCGTGAGAGTTATATGATTGGACAGCTATTTTTAGTCGTATGTCACGTGAATCTGGCTCAAAACGAGGATATAGTGGTGAATGGGTCCAGTTGTTTTTTTTACAAAAAACGAAGAGTGTAATAACGGGATAATTGAGGGTTTCAGTGACGTGTTGCTCGTAAGTATAGAACGTATTGTCTCTGCAATTTACCAGCCAAATGTTTGGAGGCGAATTTCTTCTTTTTTTATTAAATCTAACGCCTTCGAGAATAAAAGATCAATATATTTTGATAAATATTATTATTTATGGCTAACTCTATGTAAATATAGACAACCTATATGTACTCAGAAATTAAAGGTACTTAAGAAAACTGTCTAAATTCATATATTACTGTAAACACTAAATAATAATATATGTCTATCGTCATACGACCTTGTCATCATGTGTTTTAAGCAACACATCAATAAAAAGTAAAATAAGCTCTTGTACCACAGTAGGTGGTTCTAATGATAATAGACCGCCTCCGTGGTCTAGTGGTAGAGCGTCAGCCCGGAGAGCGGAAGGTCCGGGGTTCGATCCCAGGCCGCGTCATACCAAAAGACGTTAAAAGATGGTGCTTTTTGTTACCCTGTCTGGCGCTCGGCAAAAAGGGGCTAAAACAAGGACTGGTCGGCTCGGCGTCAGTATACTGTGTCTGAGTTGGGTATTCATGTTAAACTGCGGCATGGTATCTCAGTGAGCTAGCACTATAAATCGGCCTCAGTCCGGACTAGCACAAGCAGCCACACACACACACACACATACATGCACGTTGCTATATAAGTGCAATAATCTTGGACGCAACGTTAAACCAAATTTCACCTCACTTCTTAGTTTATTGAAGGTTGATTGAATAAAATGGTCTGGAGTATGCTTCATGAGAAACACGCCCTTCATCAATGTCCGTGACTCCATCTCGTTTATGCTCTCCCGGTAATGCTTCATCAGGTCATATATTTATTCTTTCAAGTATGTTACAGGATCTTATTTACATCCAAAGTCAAAGTCTGTCTCTCTGACTCCAATCAGTGCCCTTAAATCTTGACACAGTTCAAATTGAAGAAAATGCATTCGTCATAACGATATCTGCTTTTTGAATAACCACTTTTATGTACGTTTAATTACTTTCGCAATTTCATTTAGCAACTGATGCCACAACCTATCAATAATAGATTCAGATTGTCACTGCAATTATTTTCAAGGTTGTGATGGGGAGAGTTGTGCCTCTTGAATTTAATCATGTGATTCGGAGATTGCCACGGTTTCTAGTAAAAAGCGCAGGCTAGGCTAGTGCGTCCTGTCTCTGACACATACCTAAACAGACATACGAAAGAGCATAGTTCATAATTCTTTAATTTTTTATAAAAATCAATTTTGATCGAAGAGACAGTTATGTTTCTATGTTTCTCTTGACGGTTCTGATCTTCTTTTAAATGTCAAGTTGACCTCAGAGACTCTTTGTATCCATGGTGATGGAGTGAATGGCATAGTCGAAACGAATTTGCAATATGCCAATAATATGGTACCAATCAAATGCAATTCCATCACTCTAAACTGATTTCGACAGTGTTAACACGCGTCTTAAAAGGAATATCGACATATCATGTTCTCTCAGCTAAATTGTCATTTCCTAACGACCAAAATAACACCACAGTTGCCTATAATGACGGCCACCTTGGATTTGATGAAACATCTTTAGGCAGTGTGACAGACTGCTGACTGGATCTAGTAGGAAACCGGTGTTCACTTGCCAGATAATATGAACATTATATGTGCTGGCCATTCCCTTGACACTTCAATAATCATCCTTTTGCTCCCTTGAGTGGACTCATTAGAGACGAAAAAGTAACGTTTACGAATTCCATTGTGGCTACGACGTTGTAACACGTTAAATAGCTAATCTTTTTTCTTTGAAGTAGTAGCTATTTTATCAAGCTATTTTTCATTTGATGCCTCAGCAAACTCATCAATACGACAAATGGAAGGTTTATCTTAGGGTGATGAATATGTTTTTGGAATTGCAGTATGCTCATCGATGAACACCTTGCACAATCAGAGCCATATCCCACGGAGTCGTGATTGAAGTTTCTGGTAATCGTTTTGGCGAAAATTGTATCCTACATTTTCTCACTTTGTTCCTTATCTTGACATTTAGACAAGAAGTAGGCATCCTTATGGACACTAATTTTGCTCCCCTTCTTGCTGATCTGTATCTTTATGCATGTGACTCGGAATTTCTGCTCGGATTGGCAATGTCAAAACGAGGTAATTTTGCCAAGACGTTTAACACAAGCTTCAGATATATCTATGAAATGATATGGTTCAATAACCATCAAATAGCCAGTTCCCTTCCACTGCTTTACCCACCTGAACTAGAAATAAAGGAGACCAGTGAGACCGCAACGTCTGTTTCATATTAAGATCTATGCATAAATATTCAGAGTGACAAAGCGCTTTCCACAAGACTTTCCAAAAGTCAACTTTCCCTTTATGTCAAGCAATATTCCTAGAGCCCCAGCCCTTGGTGTCTACATTTAACAACTATTGAGGTACAATCAAGGAAGATATTTCTACCAAGATTCCAAAGGGCGTCATACGACTCTTCCTCCGAAGTTTGATCAAGGTAACAACACTTAAGACCTTAGTAAAGCTTACAGAAAGTTTTAATATAGACAGGTGGAAGGTATTTCCAAATTTGATGCGTCAGTGACAAAAATCATGTCTGATACAATTCCTTACTTTGAAAGGAAAGGGATTTGTCACTTTTCTTGTGATAGATTGGGATAAATACAATGAGGAACTTAATTGTAATTCTGACATCTTAGCAGTACCATCTTAGCTTAACGCATTGGACCTAGAATCTATTGCAAACAAGACATGTAACACGTCTCGATCGATTCGTTGCGAATACTTTTTGTTATCCGTTGTTGCATGTTAAAATAAAGACTCCCTTTGTTTGCACAACAAACTCCCATTGGTAACGCAATAGAAACTCTCATTAGTTTGTTTCCCTGTCGTACCTCATTATTCCCACACGTAAGAGGATCCGCTTACTCTACCAGCTGCAGGTTCAAATCAAAGATGTGTCCCGATCATTGCCCCTCGTCGTTCTAAATTATCTGTTGCTCGTATCAAATTGCCTACACAACAGAGATTTCCTTCACCTGCACAAAAGAGATCCCCAATGCATCCACACACAAAATTCCAATGCATACACAATAGAGATTCCCATTGTATACACAATAGAAATCCCCAACGCATACACAATAGAGGTTCCCATTGCCTACACAATAGAGGTTCCCATTGCCTACACAATAGAGATTCCCATTCCCTACACAATAGAGGTTCCCATTGCCTAAACAATGGAGATTCCTATTGCCTACACAATAGAGGTTCCCATTGCCTTCACAATAGAGGTTCCCATTGTCTACACAATAGAGGTTCCCATTGCCTACTCAATAGAGGTTCCCATTGCATACACAACAGAGATACCTATTACCTACACAATAGAGATACCTATTACCTACACAACAGAGATTCCCATTGCCTACACAATAGAGATACCTATTACCTACACAATAGAGATTCCTATTGAATACACAATAGATATACCTATTACCTACACAATAAAGATTCCCATTGCATACACAATAGAGATACATATTACCTACACAATAGAGATTCCCATTGCCTACACAACAGAGATTCCTATTACCTACTCAATAGAAATTCCCACTGCATACACAACAGAGATACCTATTCCCTACACAATAGAGATTCCCATTACCTACACAATAGAGGTTCCCATTGCATACGCAATAGAGATTCCTTTTGCCTACACAATAGAGATTGCAAATGCAACAGAGGCGTTCATTGGTTCATTGAGACTCCCGTTGAATTGTTCTCCAGCCATAGCTCATAGTTCCTACAAAAAAAGCTTTTAGATATATCACAGTGCACGGATAGGTCAAGAAGCGCTTATCGTTGGTTCGAATGAACGATGTGTCCCGATTATTATCCTCGGCTGCTCTAATGGACTATTGCTCGTCTACAATGTGTTTCACTGAGGTTCCCAATCTACATTAAACTGACAGGCCCTGATATAACTGAACGTCTGTTCGAAACAGCTTTAAGTCCAAACAATAACATATGTCTGATATACCATCATCTGTGAACTTTTTCTGAACAAGCTGACAATCAACGTCCGGGAAAAACAATTATATTTTCTTGTCAATCGCCATTCCCCCAGAACAATAATGAATTTAAAGTTACAAATCTTTCAAAAGTAAAACGACATGATATATTCTAGTATTAAACTATTCTTTTACCATGCTGGGTCATCAGACGTCGGAATAAGTTATATTTTAGCGCCCTTTCGTGATAGTGATTTTTAGTGCAAAACAGCAAACGTTAAATTGTGACATCCCTCTGGTGCACTGGTGTCTCGAGTTTCATCATAAGCTCATTTGCATTTATCAGTAATGACACTGTAGACACAATTTTATGGATAACAACTTCTTTAATACTGTAAAAAGCGACGTTTCGGTAAAGATCTCACGTCCACCAGCATAACGTTCAGACCACATAAAAACATACTTATTTAATCAAAGGGACATTTTAGTAAAACGACAATACTGTCTAACAATACACATCCACTGTCTAACTATCGGAGGAATCCATCCCATATCTCCATTAACAGCAACATTTGGAGCGTATTTACCCATCTCTAAGAAAAATCTCAAAGCACGATGGTGAACGGCATTTACAGAAGAAATTTCACAATGACCCCAGATAGATGCCCCATAACTCAAGACTGGCCAAACCATCGTATCATACAATTTGGAATAAGTAGTGGATTGCATACCTCCAATTGCCTTATATTTACATATAAGAAGACCTAATGCTCTGTTAGCCGATTTAGCTGCTGTATTTGCCATAGCATTGTTGTCAAGATGTTCCGTGAGCAGTAGGCCTAGATAATTATAACAATCAACAATATCTAAAACAGAGTTACCAATATTTAAAAAAAGCTGTTGTTCTTGGAACGCTTACTTTCCTAAAGTGGACAATCTTGGACTTGTCATTATTAATAAGGATACTATTATCAACACACCATGTATTCATAACATGTAATAGACGATTCAAATCATCTGCCGATTCTGCAAGTAAAATAAGATCATCAGCATATGCTAAGGCTGCAATAGTAATATCATCAACCCAAATAACAATACCAGTTTCATTTTGCTTGTGAGGCAAATCACTAATAAAAAAGTTAAACAGAATTGGCGAGAGTAAACATCCTTGTTTTTAACCCCGATTAACATTAAACCAGGATGTAAGCATACCATTTATACGTACACTGCATTTCACATTATCATATAAAGATTGAAGTGCTAGAAACATTTTCCCTTTCACACCAATGTTACATAATTTCTCCCACAGCACACCTCTGTTAATGCTATAATACGCTTTATGAAAGTCAATAAAAGCAGAACAAGCGTCTTTTTTAATACATTTTCTAGTTTCAATAAAAGAACAGAGTGAATATGATCCGTAGTTGATCTACGCTTCCGGAACTCATTTTGTGCATCATTTAGAGCTCCTGTGCTTTCAGCCCAAGATTGCAGACGGGTATTTAAAATATTACAATATAATTTGTACATAGAATTGGTGAGGGTCAAACCTCTATATGATAAAGGATCCGCAGGATCTAAAGTAGAACACTTTGGTATGGGGTTATTTATGCCCTTTAACCACAATGCAGGGATTTTCCCTGTGCTAAAACATATATTAAATATATTTTGCATCGCCGAAATAACATTTTGTGATTTAAGACATTCCATCGGAATACCGTCAACACCAGGAGCCTTGCAAAAGTGGCTCTATCAACCGCTCTGGTTACATCAAAGAGAGTAATTTTAGCGTCGAACAACATATGTGTGTCACCAGTCTCACTGTCACACTTAACATTCTGCATCCTGACGTCACCATTCAACAGTTTACAATAATCATTCTTCCACTTATCTAGTACATCACTCCATTTCTCAGACACATTTCCATCCTTTAAGACCACTCTCATGGGGATCTGCCTTCGGCTCTCCCCAACCTACCCCAATCTTACCAATCTTCTTCCAGAACTCTCTATCATTATCCTCACACATTTCATCCAACCGTTTACTTTCCCCCTATCGCATACATTCGTTTAGCAATTTGCACTGTTTTGTCAAAGAGGTTTCGCTTTTTAACAAAACAATGTTTCAGAAACATTCTCTCATTACCGTTTACATTTACACCACTTTCTCTCTGCCTCGCACATGTCATTCCACAACACACGCAGATCATCATTCCACCATGGCTTTCTCACACGACGCTTTTTATTGCTCTTACTACCAAAAACCACACGAGAACGTGGTTTTAACTTTTCATGCATCTCTCTCTGAACTAAGTTTGTGAGAGTCTCCGCACCTAGATCTAGGTAATTCTGGGACTGGGTCGACATCTCGAGCTGCAATATGATTTCATTCAAGTGTGCTATACAGGTATCAGATGTTAAAAAGTTAGAAGGTACATCAGATGTAATAAAGCGTGTAGCATAAACCGTGTCTGACTGGTTATCTGCTACCTGTGAGCCAATATTAATAGTCTCACATGACACTGACCACTGTAGCAGCGAGTGATCAAGCTTACTATGTAAGTCTGTATTTACCTGTTCAACACCAGCGCCCTCTATTAACGCTGAAGGTCTAAGTACCTGAAAACAGCTAAAATCACACAGAGATTCATGTGGTATCATACAATAGTCAACTACAGAGGCACCCCTCGTAGATATGTAGGTAAAGTCATTGGATGCTGTATTTCTTCCCTTCATTTCGTCACATGACTGAAACTCTAAAATTTGCGACAGCAAAGTGTCGAGAAAGTCAGCTTCACAAACATTTCGTTGAATTCTCAGGGGGAGATAGCACACTGCCAAATAAAACTTTGACTTACAATGGTCAGTTAGTTCTAGCCATAATATGCCTTCAGAAGAAAAATCAGCAACATTAATATCATTATAATTACCTAGGAATGAGGTTTTAATGAAAAAACCTACACCACCAGATCCAGCCTTGGCACGGTTATGGAGTAACTCTCTAATGTGTTCAATCCACTTATAACCATCTAAATACAGTTCTTCATCCTTACGTAAGTGAGTTTCAACTATCCCAATTATATCCGGGTCGCGTGAAAGTAAAAGTTCACGCCGTAATGCGAAATTATAACTTTGTGCATCACATGGCCATCCAGCTACATTCCAAAACCCGCATAGGGCCTATCTTGTGCTGGAAGTACATGTTTGGGACTGGAAAATAACTTCGAGACAACTGTAACTTCGACACATCCTATTCGACACATCTGACGTTAAATGATGATGAGTAAAGACGGAATAGGCAAGGACAAAGTTTGTACTTCGAGACAACCGTAAGTTCGACCCATCAAAGTTCGACACAACAGTGTTTGACTGTAATTATTTCCTAGCTTAAGAAGCGCCAGGATCTATGCAATGGATGTTGACTTTCAAACCAAAGAATCGTGCAAAACAACTATAATAATTCTACGCTTTCACAAACAATTCTTTAAAAAGGGAAAAAAGAGCAAAGATACAATATAGAATTTGATCGAAGGAGATGGCCGCATCATAACCAATGATTTGCAATCAGGACACTCGAAACGACTACACTTTATACGTAGATAGCCTTGGGCTATTCCACACCACAGTGGTTGATGTGCATTTCTCTAGAGACGAGGCTTCAATGCTTTTTACACTCCAGAAATCACTAACAACCCTTAACTGAACATTATATCACAGTTTGGATGACAATAATTGCTGTCACGCCCATGAGAAAAAGCACATTATAACAAGTCAAGTGGGACCGAGCGAAATGCAATTAATGGACAGTCATGAATTAGAAAAATAATGCATCTTCCTCCCTGATCTTATCTTGATGGGATCTGATTAGAGGAACCTGGGGGCTGTTATCGAGTTCGTATCAATCAACAATGCACTTTCAAATATGATTACAACTGGTCCGTTTGTGATGTTGAAGTACACAAGTAAATGCAGTTAGCATTATCAAATGACAACCTTAATGAATAAATGCAACTTCTAACACATCTAACAATACATTCGGGCAATTTTATTTTCGCTATATTTCATTACCATGATAAAGGAATGTAGGATGGACAACAAGTACTAAACTGTTTCAGAGGAAGACATTGATTACATGAACGGGGAGTGCCATACACATTCAGTATCCACTTCCGTATCCCATTCAGCTTTCAGTACTGGCTTTCCATTTGGTTGGTTGGTTTGTTGATCTTCACGGGTCACTGGCTTTCGAACACAATTTGTTTGAACAACTGTTTGCTTGTTTATGTTTCAAGGCGTCGTCAGCAATATTCCAGCTATATGACGGCGACTTGTCAAAAATGGAGTATGGCCTTCACAAACCAGTGATTGATAGTGTGAGCGCCGGTCAACGCCGTCGGCCACGTCCCCGAGCTACTCGATTCATTTAGTCGCCTCTAAAGACAAGTATAGCTGGCTGGGGGCTGATCTAGATGGAACTCCCCGGGGTTGGATAAAGGTACTACACCCTTCAACGAATGTTGCTAAACATCGGATTCCTCTGGTACGAATTCGAATCACTGTGTTTTAATTTCTTAGTGAAACACTAACTGCCTTACTGACAGTAACAAGGTGTATGAATATTGTCACACCTTAATTGTTGTTTCGTTACCTTGTCATGATCTTGTAAGTACAAAAACGACAAGACAATCATATCCAATTACAGCAAGTAAGGGAAGCTACAGATCTAAAACACTACACTTGCGATCCATTTAAAGTAACCACGATGGCGCCTTGTGTTCGTGATGTCCTAGCATGTTGGTGGTATTAGTATGT